GTCAATGTTTTATTAAAATTGTATCTTAACTACTACTTAACTTATTTAGACTTAGTATAAAAACCCACATGTGCTAATAGACTTAATGCCTTGGGCATTATCTAACTGTCGACCTTTAGGTAACTTAGTAGATAGGTATTAATAAATACATATATAGATACTTACGTAGATAGGTAACAAAACAGAATATTCTTTCCTTCTGATTATATTACACATGTTAACCAGTCCTTGTAAATTATAACAATCATTTGACTGTAAAAACGATGCAAATTATATGACAAGGGTGCGGAAGTGCGTGGAGAAATACAATTAATTAATTAATATACCTCATAAAAAAATGCAACCCGCTTCCCGTAGTCACGCCATAACTTGAGAACGGCTAGACCGATTTAGCTGTTTTTTGTTTTGTTGTATTTGTTATCGTCAGAAGAAGGTTCTTATAACAGAAATCCTACGGGAATAGATGAAACGGAATTAAATAAAAACAACTAGTCCTTGAGTTTTGTTCCATGAAAAATACAACGGTTGCAATAAAAGCCCGAACTGGTGTTTTCATTTACGCTCTGGACATTACTAGTAATTTTCCAAAAATGAGTCAAATGTGTTTCAAAGCCATAAAGAAAAAAAATGAGTTCAAAAAACAAACCAAAGTCACTCACTAACCACGCTTTAATATAAAAATCAGACATAAATAAATCGATTCACACTTCCAAATCACCACCATTCACTTCAGCACAACTGGGTACAACCCTAAAAAAACAATTTAAATTTTAAATTTCGAAAAAAGAATTCTAGAATATTGTAACAACATGGTCCAGGTGACGAAGCTTGCACAATGGCCGGTCGTTAGGAGTCGCCGGTTCGCCAGCAATTTGCACCGGCACGGATTCTTTTAACTGAAGCCCATTGAAATACGACAGGATTTTTAAAATTAAATTCTGAAGGAGTTTGCTTCAAGTTGTTTGGATAGACTACGATGGTGTATATTGACTATGATTTTGTTTACTAAACACCCAAGGAGGTGTTTATGTGTGAAGAAAATTGCAGTTTTCATTTGTTATTCAATATTGGTTCGTTCTTTAACTCGTCGAGTACCGGTTTTGCAGACACAATTATAGAACAATAGGTTGCGGTCACCGGTGACCGCTTGGTATTTGACAGTTTAAACTTGATCTTGTTTCTGACCAAGTGCCCTCGATCATCATCATCAGCTATTCAAGTGAGTGGGAGCCATACTTCGGCATGTTTAGGCTGGCTCGACCGGAGTGATACCAAGGCCTCACAGAAAACCGATGCGAAACAACGCTTGCGTTGTGTGAATGAGGTTACCGAAGGCCCAATTACCACTCCCTCACTAACCCAATCCCTGAATCCCCAACAATGCTCTAATCCCTAATCCCCAAAAGGCCGGTAACGCACTTGAAATGCCTCTAGTGTTCCAGGTGTCCATGGGCGACGCCGCTTGCATCAGGAGTCTGTCTGTGGTGTGATCTGTCTGCTCGTTTGACGGCTCACATATCGTATAATTACTTTAAAATAATTTCTATTTCTATTATTAAATGATTATACCAAAAGATCCATTTAACAATACAAATAGGTATTATGTCGACGTAAGATATCTTTACAGTTTCAAACCCTAATTCATACATGCTAAGATTCATAACATCAAGAAGTAACTTAAAGGTGACATCTTGTATCTAAACATAACCAACAACAAAATATTAAGCCTAAAACATTCACCAAATTACTTTCTAAAGTGAGATAAGCGATTTTGATCCTAAAACACTCAGTATAAAATTAATTATTAACAAATTACTTCATATCCACTTGTTACATTTTACTTCGGAACCATTAGTGGAGTCTGTTTACGATTATCTCATGCAGTGTTAAAAGCTTCGTCGCATTATAGAAAAATATTGTATGTACTCATGTATCTACCTACTTAAATATGGTGGTAAAGTATTTCTCTCTCATCATCACGTCTTTTATCCCCGATGAGGTAGGCAGAGGTGCATATTACGGTACTTAATGCTACTTTATAATATAACACCCACTTTTCACTATTTGTCTTATGAGTCCCATATTATAAGGGGTGTGGGGTAATTTTTAATTAGTAAGAGTCGGAATAATCTATTCGGAGCATAATCTCCCGCCCGGGTGAGGCGAAAGGGAGTGGCAGTGTCTCTTACTGGTTTAAAACCACCCCGTTCCTGCTCCTGCACTTCGCCCCAAAGCCCCGGCAACCCGTTAAGTCCTCTGCGACTCCGTATCGGCATATATACTATTCGGAACGCTATGGGTCCGATGGCTCGTTGAAGAACGCGCGGAACGCGAGATCTGCGTCAAATGAAAACAAAAATAGGGCTGATTTTTCAATTCAACAGAGTATCTGTATCAGCCCTAAAAACTGTTTATTAATATTGACTGTTTTATTATTCTGATAATTGTTCTTGTCGTGTAACTTTGTTGATCACTTTTAGGCCAGTAATGGACAGTAGTCCACGGCATTTGTCAAAATCGATAGGCGGTTTTATCGTTGCCGCTCTAAGGACAGTTTTCATTGTTTCTAAGCTAATTCAAACGTTTCTCAGTTGTTGGCCGTCTATTGTTTGTAAAGGTTGCATGTATTCATCGAATGTCCCAACATGTACCTGCTTGATGTCGGTTGGACATCAATTTCTGGAACACAATATAGCATTGAAATACCATGTAGATATATAAGGTGCTCTATAATTATCTGCCACGGCTTTAATGGGAGGTAGTGTTATGTTTACAGATTACAATTGTGAAGAAATTTCGTACCCCGGACCAGTTAATTACATAAAGTAATTAAGTAAACATTGACTACATTCTGCATAATGTCGTTCACAAATTACGCGCGATGCGTCTTGTGCAACAGTTTTGTAGATAAGTAGGTAGAGAGTGTGTAAATAACTGTAAAAGTGTGTAAAAAACTGTTTTAAGTGTGATGGGAAGTTTATAATCTTATTTACCTACATCAGCTTTTCGGAAGAATGCCGTACCTGGTAAGTAATTGCACTTTTAAAACCCTTGTTAGCCTGCCTATTGAGTATCTAGTAGATTAGATAGTGACGAACTAGTCAGCTGATTTCCGTTTTCATTCTCAGTACACGTCGAAAGAGATAGCAATTGTTTTCATTGACTAAGCGACGCATCGCGCGTAATTTGTGAACCACATTATGCAGAATGTAGTCAATGTTTACTTAATTACTTTATGTAATTAACTGGTCCGGGGTACGAAATTTCTTCACAATTGTAATCTGTAAACATAACACTACCTCCCATTAAAGCCGTGGCAGATAATTATAGAGCACCTTATATACTGAAATTTATAATCTGACCCAGTCTATAATCTTCATACATACATACATATATAACTTCACGCCTGTCACGCCAATTGCTATGATTCTTACATACCTCTTTCGCTTCATCAACATTTAATTAATATTTCATTACAATTGTAAAAAATAAAATTATAGTCAATAAAATACTTCAGTCATTGTGTAAGTAAATAATTTCAAAGAAAATTCGGTCAGTCAGTGAAAAATATGGCAAAGCAATCCCTAGAGGTTAGTCCGGGACACGATTCCGGGACAACAATATCTATACGTATGCAGTTCATTCGATTTCATGGTTGTAACATAATACAATATATATAGTACTGCAGTGATTTTGAGGTATTTTTATGATAGTTTTCTTGTGGAGTTCAAATTACAAATCTGTATGTTACAACATTGGCTTTAACATAGTATACATACATTTTACATCTATACAGATGAATAAAATGAGAAAGAGTGTCTGTTTATAATATTAAAGTAACCGAATAAAAAATAACATATACCAAAATAACACTTTCGACAATTTTTGTCTGGCTGTCTGTCTGTTTGTACTGGCTTTTTTTAAGGGGTGAAAATCATCCAATGACTACTCACACCTGGGTGAGGTAGTAGGGAGTGTCAGACTCTTACTGACTACCCCGTTCCTACTTCTGCACTTCGAGCCGGAGCCTCGGCAACCCTTTATATCTCTGAAATAACTGGACCGGTTTTGACGGGACTTCCATTGGCAGTTACCTAATTTACACTGTAAACAGTGTCTATAATGACGGTACTCGACCAGTTAAGGAGAAACATATGTTATTTTTATTTGAGAAAAACACAGACGAAGTTGTGGATTCATCTAGCGTCGATATAAAATAAGAAAAAAAAAACAAAAGCGTAAAACGTAAATTAAACGCGTGATACAAATATTAATATTTTGTTTACTAATAGTCAATATAAACATAGACTTCATAAACTTTAATATCGGTTAATATTTTATTATCTATGTGTATGACCACTCGGCTAACGAGGCAGGTGCCTCGTTAGCCGAGTGGTCACAAGTGCGACTGCCGGGCAAAGGGTCTCGGGTTCGATTCCCGGGTGGCGCAAAGTACTACTGGGTTTCAAAAAATATATCAGTGGTAACACTGACTCTGGAATTTTGTCCGGTATATGGCAACGGCTCACCCCCTATTACATGGGACTTAAAACATACTTAAATAGTGAAAACTGAGTGTTACAATGTACTGTTGCATTAAGTGCCATAATGTGCACTTTGTCTACCCCTTCGGGGGTAAAAGGAGTGATGCTATGTTATTTTAACATAACTAACTTTTCGTTCAAATTCATTTTATGCGTAAATTTTTGCTAGCTACTTTAAATATAATAGAAACAATCAAGACATAGATAATAAAAACCGATGTAGAATCATTTTATTCTATAAATACCTACAACATTAATTTGCAAAGGTAAAACCTATATTATTTAACTTCATTTTTTAATGATTATAAACTTTAAAATATATTTTACATTCAATTTCTTACTTACAATACCGCTGCTTATTAATTATTAAATAATCTGTGGTAACACAAAAGTAAACTTCAAAATATATTAAGATGTACCCGCTATTTTAATAATAAAAACATTCACTTCGTTTATACTCCAGTCCAAAAGAAGACATTAAAATATCTAAAAAAAGGAAATGTCTTGAAGAGAGTCGAAGTCATTTAATGGCAATATAATAAATGTTTTAATTAAAACAGAGTCTGCAGTGGTAACATTAACAAAAACACTTAAAAATAAAAGCACCTTTAAAAAGGTAAGTTTATATCTCATATCTGGTTTGGTAAGGTTCAGTATAGAATACTGAACCTTATAACTGAGTCAAGTTTAGGATGATTTTACCTTGTGACATAGTCGTGTTTAAGTTTGTGTACCTATGTTCTCAGTTTTTGCATGTAAGTAAGATGTACCACACCTATTATCAAAGTTTTTATATTGTTGGACAGTGCGCTATACTGATATTAATACTAGCCAAATAATTAAAAAGGTTTGTCCAATTTTATACAACTTAAAATGTTAAAATAATGGATAACACATAATTTATGTAATCGTATTCAACTGACAGAAAGTAAAATGGTACACCTCATAAAACAATTATAATCCATGGTCAATTAATTGCATTGTCTCATAATCCAATCAAATCCTAATTTATTACATTCGCACTTTCAAATTTTCAATTTGTCCACAATAAATATTGGTATTAATGATATCTAAATCCCTCGGGATTATCAACTTATTAACGAAATTAAATTTCAGGATTGGTGCAATAGCGCTTACACTGGCAGATGTAAATAAACGAATGAATCGTGAAACAATGTCGGAGATCACCACCATGTCGAAATTAAATCAGTGTTGTTTAAGCAAAATAAAGAACGTGGCGATGAAGAAATTTGCTCCAACACAGTTAGTGCTCACGGTAAATAAGAAAGATCTAAATAATAATACGTCTTGTACAGGGCTTTGCAATAAAGAAGTACTAACGATACCAGTGGATATACCAAAGGCGCCGGTGATAGCCCCAGCTTTCCATAAAGACGATCTCAAATTAATACTCGAGAATCAGGCCTATATCAATAACTCCTTAAACATTCCTGTATACACCAATATTTTACCAGCTATTGTACCAAACCCAGTTTCATTATATGGCCAACAAATCTATCCTATGCCTGGCTCAGTGATTCAACCAGTTCTTACACCAATAGTCCCTCAATTACCCATTCATCAAAACGTTTCAAATATTCCTGATCTCACAAATGATTATGTTCCTGAACAGCAAGTATTAGATGCTAAGGATATTTATAATGCTGAAACATTTATGCAAGAAAAATTATATGAAGAGTTGGATCAAATATATGTTGGTAATCAAATGAATTGTGTTACTAAAGATGGATTTGGTGACCCTCTAGAAGTGTATTTAAGTTTACCAAAGGCAATATTTCCTAGTGCAAATATGCTGGCGCTTGATCCAAATCCAATTATAGATGAATTTTGTAAGATGCCTAATATGCAGCGTCATGCACCGTGGTTGTTGGATTTGGAATTTGGTATACCAAAAACTGTTGTAACTCGTCCTTTACCTGTTTACAACGTCAAATTAAATAGTATTAACTGCAAGAATACCCCGGATGCTATACACCCAGGCTTTGAGAGCTGTAATCCAGATTTTAAACGGGTTATGCTATTTTATTATGACTGTGTGGTGTCGGCGTGGTACAGAGGTTACATGACCATAACTTTGGATAGATCGGTGGAGAACTTTCAGAGCTGGTTGCTACTACCAATGCAAGTCCTGGGGATGTGCTGGTCTTAATGTATGCTGCATGTTGTGAGTGTCCTTATCGTCATCATCAGTCAGCACAGGTTCAGTTGCAACTGGATATAGGCTCTCCTCTTTAATTGTTTTATTATTATGTTTTGTATTAACATAAGTTTTGAGAATAAGGTTTAAATTACCTCCTTAAAGCCATAATGATTTTTGTTTGAATAAATTCTCAATTTTGCTTATATTTTTATTTGATTTTCACAGTCGTATTTATTTTTGAGAATGACCTCCTATTGTTATTTTATTACCACTACACTGTAATGCTGTTGGGTTATAAAGTTTTTTTGTATTGCAAAAAATAACATCAACACTTTTAGCAAGTATTTTATAAGCCCAGATTTAACAGTTTTTTTAATTGTAATTTACACATAGAACTTGACTTTAATCTTCTCTTACTTTCATCCGCATTTTAAATCAGAATAATAAAAAAAATATCCTGCCATCATACAGCAAGAGTACTTACTACTTAATCCCCGAAATCACAGTAAAATGCTGCGGTGCGAAGATTTTAATTTAAAACCAGGGCAATCCCATTTTACCTTCTGCCTTCTAGAGTTGATTGTACGATGTTCTAACCGCATTCTCTCATCAAAATCTGACCCAAATTTAAGATCCCTAATGACTCCGTGGCAAGTTGCGGGCACGACGCTCGGGAATTCAATTCACGCCCGTTCTTTGTTTATTGACACTGACTAAGTTTGTGAATTCTTTGAGGTAATCAACTAGGTTTTAGGGGATTTGGTTTTCGTTTGAGAATTTTGTTTTGTATTGGCTCGTTTAATTTTATTGTTCGGTTTTCCAATTATTTTATCAAAGTGCATTTGTCATATCTCTGTCATTATAGCAATTTGAAAAACAAGGTTTTCAAAGACAAGTCATTAATAAAATTAGTTATTAGGTTAGTCCAAAACTCTTTGTTAACTATATTATTTGACAACTACACCTCAGTAGTACCTCGTGTATGTTACACAATTGCCAAAATCCGAGAATTAAACCTGTAATCAGCCCTTATAATCAACAAAACATAGATAAAATGAAACAAGAACTAAAAAAATATCTCAATATTTTAATAATTATTAACAATAATATTATTGTGAAAACAATCAACGGCATCATAAACTATCATTTAATAAAATCGCAATAGTCAAACTAAATGAAACGAACATCACTGGAGCGTCGACATTTACTAAATGCAGTACAACAATGCGCGATTTGGTAATATTCACATTCGTCCACTTTGTTTATAACAAGTTAATCAATATCAATTTACAAAAATATATTTATCATAACTATTATACGTATAAAAGTGTCAAATTCCAAGTTATTGTACAATTAGATGATGGAGTACGAAGTGAGAATGTTTTCGAAAGTATTTACAAAACCACTTTATTAGTATTGCCGTAAATGTGTGTTGCACATAAAAATTGATAGTAAAATTACGCTTAAGTCAAGATAAAAGTCTGAGATTATAGTTATGGTGACAAGTTAACATAAAACTACAATAAGTATCTCGAATTCCATTTTACTTAAGTACTGAAGACAAATCTGTTCATTCGAGAACCAATAGCGTGAATTTCTAATTAAGTTTCATGACGTCTGATTACGTTTCTGCCACTCTTACTGACTGATAATTTGACGATTCTTTAATTACTCGAAATGCATCAAAATATACGTCAGTTAAATAAACAGTGTCTTAATCACAATTGTCAATAACTGTCCCTTAACTAAAAGTCACTTAACGTGACGTAGCACCAACACCTTATTTGTACGGTAAGGTGTCACTTATAGGTTGGTGCAAACAAAAACGATGTTAAGTCTATCTTAGTTAAGGGGTTGTTTGATTTTAGAAGAGGTTAACGAAAAGTCAGTAAAATAATGACCAGGAAATCAAGACTTTGGTTGATTTGGTTGGTACAAGTTGGTAAAACCTCAAAGAAGATAAGAGTTAATATATGAGGCAGTTAATATTGTTTATTATCATCACCATAATATCCACAAAACATCCCACTCCATCATCGAATTGTACATACATTCTGGTTTCTAAGGAACTGGAACAAATACGGGTAATATTTACAAAACGTGTTATTCCATTGCAAATGCTGGGGAAAGTAAATAATACTGTATTATTAGTACAACCTTAATTAAACGGCAAGATACATACGTATATTTACACATTTGAGCATACAGAGCCTTAGGTTAAATTAAACTAATAAAGATAAAAATGATCTTAAAATTGATTGTATTTACATAGAATTGTTTCAAGTGCATAAGGCGAAGTAGTCGTACATAGATGATGGTGATCTCACTGTCTCTAAATATGCAGACACATTTCTTGTTCAAAGTTCTGCGATAAGTCATTTCCAAAAAATAAAACAACAATATTTGAAAAAAAAAGTCAATAAATCGTACACAATAAAGTACTAATAAATATTCATGAAGCTGATGTTGATTCACTTATGCCTACAAACCAAATGAGCATTTAGACGTAAAAGCAGGAATAGCTACTTCGACACAGAATGCCAACATTTACCATTCCAATTTGCCTAAGGCACATCACGGAACGTCGTATTACCTGCGTTTGGTCGCTCCCTAAGTAAATTTCAGCTTAGAACGTGCATAATTGGAGTTTAACACATTCCACACTTCTGCTGTTTCCAAAATCATTGAATATGCAGTAAGATCACCGTCATCATGTACACATGATGAGTTGTACAACCTCAAAGCAGTCATCAGGGCGTTTATTGTGAAGCTTAAAAATATCACCATGTTGGAGCTCCGGTGAAGGTGTTGATGCAGAATCTCGCCACCACGAGTTCTGCAAGCTCCTGGCGAGATATTCCTAATTAAACGCCTCAGAAAACGTTGAATCCAATCAACATTTTTGAAGGTAACTTATTCTGCACTTGTCACAAATTCGTTTCGTGTCTTTGTTTCACTGTTCATCACTTTGTCACTTTATTCCACCTTCCACTTTAGAGCACCGAGTGCTTTGGTTTAAGAATTGACCGTCTGAAGAATCCATGGAACGAACTTGGATATCCTGGTGCAAACTCCGGGTAAGTTCGCTTCGCCACATCCGATACCCCAACTGATGATTCCAGCTAGGAAATATTTTTGATCTTTGCCTTTGACCTGTAATAAAACAAAGCGTATAAAATACTTTCTTAAATGTGAAATGTTCAAGGACAATTAACAAACATTTCTCAAAACTTAGTTCACGAGATCTATTCTAGTTACAAAATTAATAGCTTGTAACGAAAGCAAAAGTTTTCAGTCTTAAAATACATTTCAGTCTTCGTCAGCAAGACTCACTTCAAGCGAAACTTTTTAAATTTATTCAAGTACAGGGCGTTAATTATTTACTTGTTCCTAAGCCTGTACATGTTTAGCGAAGATTCCAGAAGACCGAAGTAAAGTTTCGCTGAAGATTTTGTTTAATGAGGATCCGAAACTTGAAGTGAACTATTTCTTGGAACCTGTAATGCTATTCTTGGAAGTTTTGAGCGCTTGGGATTTGCTATACTTACCTAGTTGTAACTCAAATTGTTGGGATTTCATAGAACGATCTTTCACTCCGAAGTATCCCTGAGTAGTTGAAATTAAGGGACATAGCAAAAGTTGGAAGGGTTAATCAACATTTAACTAGTCATTTTGTGGGTAGGAGTGGTCCATGATTGTTGTAATATGAAGTTTCTATGGGATAATGTGCTTGCCGGAAACTTTTGATGGGATGGAATGAACTTCGCAGTATTAACAGCAGATTCATTAATCATTGCTTCTACGTATTTTCTTCGTTTTATGACACTTTTAACTTCGGAGACTTTTATTACGAAAGTATAATACTGATGAAGCTATGTACCCTTTACTGATTTTGATGTACTGTGTACTTACTATGCTTTAATAGTTTAACTAGTTATTGTTAGTATTATTATTTAGTTGCTTACCTGCAAAGGTCCCCCAGAATCTCCCTGGCAGGAGTCATGGCCACCCCTCTCGTGGCCGGCACATAGAAAGATGTCTGGAATGAACTCGTGTCTGCCAGCTCTCAGGAACATTGACTTACATCGCTCGTTCGATACTATGGGTACTTGCACCTAAAGGAAAAAAGTTTATTTTACAGATTATGCTTTAAAATAGAAGGCTATCACACAGAACATGAGTCGCGGAGAACCTAACGGGTAACCGGGGCTCCGGCTCGAAGTGCAGGAGTAGGAACAGGGTGGTTTTTAGTCAGTAAGAGTCTAACACTCCCTCCCGCCTCACCCAGGCGGGGGCAGTGATTCGATGATTTTCCCCCGTTTAAAAAAAAATCTCGCAGAACTAATTCCGTAAAAAGAGTGAAGTGTTACTAATAGTGACAGTTTTGATATCTAAATACATAAACTTCGGTTTAACGTTACAGACATATTAACTCGTCGAGTACCGGTTTTGCAGACACAATTATAGAACAATAGGTTGCGGTCACCGGTGACCGCTTGGTGTTTGACAGTTTAATTTGACTGTACGGTTGTCGCGGTAGCTGGGTAACCGGCTGCCGAGCAACGTGTAGCGGGTTCGATTATCGCACCGAACAATTCTTTGTGTTATCCACAAATTGTTGTTTCGGGTCTGGGTGGACAGCCACGATACTTGATAAAACCCCAGAGCGGGGCAACAATTGAAAAAATAAACTCATATAACTTTCGTTACCTCTTGAAGAACCGACGGCAGTACACCACCTTCAGACAATCTTCCCCATCCAGTGACAGTAGCATTCTCTCCTACTAACAGGTCATCTGTCGCTGGTAGACATATAGGAGATATATGAGGAGCAAACTGAACTGGAGCCTCCAGCTTCACCAGAGCCAAATCATACTCATAAGTATAGTAATTATATTTTGGATGTACTGCTTTTCTTGCTACACCGCTCTCTACGAATGGGTATTCTTCTGACACGGATGAGAAGTCATATTCGCCAACTCTGATCCTTATTTGTGATGTCAGGAGACTGGAAAAAAAAAGGTTTTTTAGTCATGATATTAATATTACCTCGTTGGCCGAGTTGCAAGTGCGACTGCCGGGCAAGGGGTCTCGGCACAGAACATAATATAAAGAAAATTATATTGTTCTGTGGGTCTCGAATATGATTCCCAGGTCGGGCAAAGTATTGCTGGGATTTTAAAATTCTTAGTAATACTCCATGCGTAATTATTCTGGAGTTGTGCTCGGTATATGATAAAAGGCTCACCACCTAGTACATGGAACTCATAACATTAATAATAAAAAGTAGGTGTCACATTGTACAGTGGCATTAAGTCCCATAATATGCACCTATGCCAATCTCTTCGAGGATGAAAAGGCGTGATGTTATTTTACATTATGTTATGTGAAATTAATATTGTAATCATACATTATGGTAACACCAAGTGTATGTTAACTCGTCGAGTACCGTCATTATAGACACAATTATAGAACAATAGGTTGCGGTCACCGGTGACCGCTTGGTGTTTGACAGTTTAATACCATTTCAACTACACATCTAGAATAAAGACATAATAGTTATTACAATAGCGAAGAACAACACTTCGATTAACAGTCGAAGTTGCATTAAGTTTCAACGCGACATACTCGCTACAATATTCTTTTTAACATGTCATTACTACTAATTACAACGACCTCGTGCACTTGCATTTAGAATACATAAAGGCAAAGAGAAACACAAACAACTCATCAGGCCGAACTTCTGTATGTGCTACTGCATGGCTCCATTTAGCTATTGTGTGCAGAAGCCATTAAAACTCGCTCAGAACGACAGACGGTTCCGACTTCCGCCTTAATTCCCACAAAACCAACACATGTTTGCAAAACGTCATGTCATTCCGAGGGGAAAACTGGAAAAGGTGTCTCTACAGTTACAGCAAACCTTACCTACATCATCTTCTCTGAAATGGAGTACTTTAACCTGTTTTTCCACGGCATCACTAATTAAAGTTTGCAGAAAGTTCATGTTAAAACGAAAATACCATTTATTCTACAAATGTAATAGCTATGAACTTCTCTGTTTAGCTTGTTAAGCGATTCATTGTGATAATACGGTTTCCATAAGAAACAGAACACATACACTAATAATTAGAAAATTTTTTGTTTGGTTTAACGAACGGTTTTAGGATTTCAACTTGGTTTATTGTACTTGAATCTGCAGAGAAAGCGTTTTATTTGACTGACTGAGTCTAGGTTTAGACCGTTCGTTGATCTAGTCTAGTCACTAAAGAAAGCCATTCAACGACTTTAACATAAATCTTGGAGCTACTAAATACTTATCGTGGTCGTAAAAAAAGTATATTTATCTCTGCGGCCGAACATAAAGTCACTGTTCTAAAATTTTGCAAAACCTGCTTGCTCCTGTTGAAGACAGAGTCCATTAAAGATACTTCGTTTTAATTCCCCTTTTTACGATGTTTAGACGGTTCCCTTTACTTTGTTTTTACAGTAATCTACTTACTGTGAGATGGGAAATATAAAAAATAAATGAAAAGGAGCTCGTCCGTCTGTCTGTATGAATGCGTTAATCTTCGGATTACTAGATGGATTCTGATAAAACATTTCCCAGGAAGACTTAAGATGTTTAAGACTTTTTTCGCGATAAAAGGAGGGAGGAATACGAATTGCGAAATTGTGGCCAGTTTATTTAAAGCTGTCTATCCTTTAAGTCCGCAGTTTTGTGAAGTATCAACGCTAAGGTTCTTTGTGGCTAATGCTAAGGTTCGGACTTCTTTTAGTGTTATCAAAGTCGACATTTTATTTTTGGTGACAAAGCAATAAATAATTAATCATCTTAAACTGTCAAACACCAAGCGGTCACCGGTGACCGCAACCTATTGTTCTATAATTGTGTCTACAATGACGGTGCTCGACGAGTTACAATGAATTAATGACCAACGGCAAGTATCAATGTGACTTTTTCCAAGTTGTATGCACTTTTTAAGGTTATTTAGACACCAGTGATAAAGGGTGAAGGAAAACATTGTGAGGAAACCACAACTTATAATTTCTAATTATAAGATTCAAATCACTGACCCACAATGATCAAGCATGGTAAGTAATTCTGAATGTTCTGAATGGTTTTGCTTAGCAGTGGGCTGTTGATGAGTTGATGACTAGAATATTTCTATCATACCTTCATCTACCAAATTGAAGTCGTTCGTCGTGAAATATAGAAGCACATTTATTATTAACCAGTTTTCACATTCTGCATTCTTTTTCATACTAAGTTATAATGTAAAAGCTGGAGTATTGCCAGTCCAATTTTCATATGGCTTCTTTTAAAAACGGCTGTTTTATTAAACCACAAGATCGTACCGCTCAATCAAGATAATGAAACTATTAAAATTTGTTTGCAAAGTATATTCTTTAACTTCGTTTTCATGCATGGCAGTAAATGGAATTGATTTACAATTATTAAAATGTATGCCTGGCTTACACTGAGTAGTGACCCTTTTAGCATAGGCATTGGCATGTTGTCAGCGTAGCTCTTCTAATTCTTCTGTTTAAATTTTTCAACTCAATGTTTCTATTACTACCACTGTCACACTCTTGTCTTTTTATATTTTATTTATGCTGCATCGTGCCTGGTGCTGAATAAATGTTATTTCTTTCTTTCTTATTTTCTCTTTCTAAAATATTTACAAATTACACCAAGTATAACTTTTCTGTACCTTTTTGCTTTTGCTATCATTCATGTTAATTTAATAATTGTTACTAAATCGAGTAAGAAATTGGACAGAAAATATTTAAAGAACCTAAAACTTCTATCATCTTTTTTATGGCTACTACTGGCATTAGTACTGATTACTACTTACTCATCAACACAATGGCCAGCAGTGGCGATCCAGCCCTCGTTGATAATGGCACCTCCACATCGGTGCGTGGATGAGAAGCCGAAGTAGGAGGTTCTTCTCACAGACACCTGCCACGGCCAGCGACCGAAGCTGGAGTCTTTACCACCCATGATCCTCGACTCTGGACGTGGCCACATTGCTGTTAGACCACATTCTAAAAATAGGAAATTTAATTAAGATTTTGCTTAAAAATCTCTGATAGACGTCTCAGAACGCAAAACCATTTCAAACAATTCGATATAAAATTAGGATATACGTACGTTGCTAAGATGCTGAAATATGACCAGTAGAATGATGATTTGTTAAATAAATGTAAAGGCTTTTTAAAAATACCTCTGTTACCAAATATTGTAACGTGGTATGGCACTAAAACACCATCGAATAGAAAATTTCAAAACGCTTCTGCTCATTTTTCAGCTTTCACTACATATACCTAAGAGATAAGCATAAATTATTATACCCATTTAAATGTAACTGTCGGAGTAACACACATTTCCTCTGCATTTGAGTGCAGGAGCGAGGTCTAGATGCTGCAGATAGAATTATCTAAATGCATTACGAAAATGGTATCTAAATCGTAAATTACACTGGAATTGTGGAAACCATAAAAAGTTTCAAGTACTATTTAATGGCTCTTATAATAATGCATTTAATGTAAGGGTTCCTAACGGCCTCGAAGATTTGTGAGCTGAGTGTACAGTGGAGGACAATACCGCTTGATCATTTTAAAATGTTATTATTTGGACTGGACAAAATCAAAGCATGCTCCATAAATATCTCAAGTAAGACAAAAGCGATAACGTCGCACCTTATTGACGAAACCCATGTAATCACTTAGTCAGTGGTGCGTTTCATACTGTTCGGCTATTTGCGTCGGCACCAGCCCCGCCTTTTATTATCAATTCCAGGTCATAGGGCGGCGGTAGACAGCAGATCTCATCAGGTGCAAACAAAGACTAACTTATGTAGTGGTGGCCAGGTGGATATGTCCCCCATTGTACATTTGGGTCGAGTCTATGTAATTTGCATTTGGTCATTTTAATTCTGTGGCTGGCTAAATGGCTTTTAACCCTGGAAAGGAATTCATTGTTGGTTTGGATTTAGAGGGGGATTTTAATAAGGGTTTAGTTGTGATAATGAGGTTACCATGACCATTTTACTGAGTACTTGATTGAGTATTATTGAGCTGGGGTTAGTTGTAGGGTTTTATATATTAGAGGAAAGTATGACAGACTTCAGGTTCATGTTCATTAAGTTAATGGGATCAATTACAAGGTACTAGAAAGTAGTCACGAATACATGGAAAACAATCCACAACATAAGTTGCATTAGCTAATCCACAAAAAAAATCTTATTTAGTTATATAGTTTCAAATCTTTTTTTCGAATTCATCTAACTCAAATACTTAAAAAAATCAAACGTAATCTACTTACCAACAGTGTTAGTAGCAGCCGTTGTCTGAATCGGTGATGATGTAGACTCTTCGGTCCTGTTAATCATATTGGACGCTGGATCCTTCGGTTTGATATAGTTCTTATGTGGTTTGCTCGTCGTGGTAGTGAACTTCTTCGTCGGCTTCGGCTTGCCCGCTGGCTTCTCCCAGGAAGGTCGAGGCTTCGTGATGAATGTTGGCTCTGTAGTCGCCTGCCAGTGGATCGTGTTCAGGTTGCTAGGTCTTGATATGTATTGACCTGTTTTTGGGAGATTTCATTAGTATTGGTTTTCATTGATAAATATTAATTTGGCGCTTTGTCTGACTGCTATTTCTGTTTGAATATTACACCTGTTCTGACAATAATAAATAATTATTTACCTAACTTAGAATATTATTTTTGGTGTTTAAAAAAACAATTTTAGAATACTGATGCAGTCCAACTACAAACATATATACTCTTTATTCTATGCAATAGAGACACTATAAAAAATTGTGCACATTATTAAAATTGTAGTACATTGAGTAAGCTGACATCTTGCAATGAAACTGTCAGTTACAACGAACCTTTATTTCAGCTTTATTTGCTCGCAGTAGTTGGAGTACAAAGCTCCAGCCGACCTTTATGTTTTACACAAATCTAATAGATGGCAGCACTATAAACTTTTTGCCAACTTATTTTGAATCCAGAAATTAAGCTTTAAAGTAAATAATATACTGTTTTTTATAGATAAGGTTTTAAATATATGTTATTAAATATTATTTCACAATAATTGGTACACCACACTTTCATAGGAAACAAAGTTTTAAGACAAAGTTTATCATATTAAAATGTAAACGTTCATGTAAACAAACAAATCAGTAATTACCTGAGTTGATGCTGTTATCAGCATGTTGCTCCGACACGGCCATCGGCCGCGCTCCAGATAATATGCTAAGACTAGACGAAATCTTATTGTGGGGACTAGTTTCCGCTTCACTGTTCGGCCTATTTACATTTTGGTATTTATTTACACTGTTATAAGGTATTTTATTAACTATATCACTATTTTGTTCGCTACTTGAATCTAAATTTCCTAATGAAGGTAAGTTTATTTCTGGCGGCCGGTAGCTGTAAGACGTGGGTGCCCCATCTATCGGTTTGGTCATGAACGACGGCCGCTGAGTTTGCCAGTTCGGCCGCGAGATGGTTTGCGTTGATGTCTCTGGCGTTTGTGTTGTAGTGTGTGCCGTACTAGATGGCGTTGTATACGTCTTTTCAGTGACTGTGACTGGAGGTGCAGGTTCTGAAAATTATTACAAAATGTATGTTAATACAGGTAAAAACTGTATTTTTCTTGACATAAATCTATAGCCCTTTTTAAAGTGCAATGTCCAATAAGAAATAATCACTTTAGTTCCTATGATTGTAGCTAGATGGCAGTACCTTTCCCAAATTGAAGAATACACTTATACTTCACTATAATATCAACTCGATTAATTATTTTTATTTAAATAAATACATTATTATATAATTTGTATTTAGAAGCGAATTTCTTTCTCAAAATTAAACTTTCAAATTGGAAACGTCGCGATGAGGCCATCAGAATCAAAACACGACGCAAGCGCTGTTTCACGCCTACTGGATTTTAAAGTCTACCTACCTTCCACATGCACAGGTTTGTCTGGCAGCCGACAGCAGGAGCCGAACATGAACCCGTCGACGCATACTCCTGCATGTGTTCCCCCGACTCTGTTGCACTCCTGCACCCACATGCACGCGCCGCGCGCGCCACCCGCCACGCACGATTTGCGTGACATTTGGTAACCTGAAAATAAAAGAGATTAGGAGTTAATTATATGAAGATAGCAATGAAAATAATCATAGTGTTACCAGTGAATGATTAGTGGAAAATTAAGAAGATAGTATATGAATTTTGTTTGTGGAAGTTGTAGCAATATTGTAGGTATAACCCTTTCGCTTTAAAATCTATTTCCAATTTTCGAGAAATGAAAATATAGCTGAATGCACACAAGATGGTTTACCCATATGAAAAGTGTGACAAGCATATCACAACGTGTACAATCAATACTAATATTATAAAGCTGAAGAGTTTACTTTTTGTTTGTATGTTTGAACGCGCTAATCTCCGAAACTACTGGTCCGATTTAAAAACATTCTTTCTGTGTTGGATAACCCATTTATCGAGGAAGGCTATAGGCTATAAAATATTACGCTACGATTAATAGGCGCCGAGCAGAGCGAGTGAAACCGCGCGGAAGTAGCTAGTCACCTATATTTTGAAGCCTGCAACGGACTACCAACTGTTTGTAACAACAATATACCTATAGACACTAATCCCTTTCTAAAAATACCAAACAACAATGCCTTTCAAGCAAGGAAACACGCAGAACACCTCACACTTACCGTTAAAATAGCCTAACTAAATGCATTGTCTATATTCTATTCTATTTTGCTAAAAGATTCTATTTATGGCTTGCAGTAGTATGGACAATCTAATCTGCTAGTCGGTTGCACGTTTCGTTGCCACCCATTCCAGTAAATCATTATGAAGAGGAGAGGGGTGCCAATAAATTTACAAGTGGTGGACTACAAACGGTGCGCCGAAGGCGGTATTTGATCCATCTGTGTAGCTCTTGGTTGTAAAGGTGTAAGTGTAGAAGGTTAGATTTGCTGTGTGCTTGAATTGTGAGCTGGTGTTGAGTCAGTGAAAAAGAATTGATATCAGTAAATCTATTGTGGTAAATAACTGCTCAGATTTATAATAAGTCAAACTGTCAATACATCAAAGTAACAATAGGACATTAAATAAAATGTCAAGAAACACCAATGCCAACGAACACGATAAAAGCATTATCCAAAATTTTTTCTACTAAAAATATTAACACAAAATCCAACTAAATCAAGAACCCACTCAAAAAATTAAAAGTCCAAGAATACGACACACCGTCAAAAATACCAACATTTCAACGAACAAAATTGAAATAAGAAGTGACGCCATAGGGCTGTGGCTACACCCCGCAAAAATAATACCTCTTGACTTATAATGGGTCACAAGTCACAAGTGAAACTCAGACGGAATTACAAACAGGAGATGATCATCCTGTTTCCTTACATTCCTAAATCAACAGCTTTCATTGTTCCTGTCATAAAGGAAAAAACATATGAGGAAGAAGGTTGTAACGTATAATATTCATTATCATGATTCTCTTTTATTTTACTCGAGTATTGTTGAGTGGTCTCCCTTTTTTGTCAGTGCAGTTGACAAACGATACTCGATGTGTTTCGCTATTCAGATTTATTTAATTGCTAATGATACAAACATAAACTTGTTCATTCCCAACACGTATTATATTAGTTTTCATGATACAGGAAGCTGTATTACAACATAAAATGTCCAGTAATACCAAGGTTGTAACCGTAAAACGAATAGGTAGGTAAATGTTTATTTGCTCAACTGTACTTATTTCTTTTTTGACCCCAAGATGGATTATCCTCATGAAGCCCCCTTGTCAGAGGAACTGTTAGATTCTTACTAATTTTAAATCACCCCAGTGATACACCTAGATACGAATTTGATTTACTTATACCAAAAACAATGTGTAACAGTTGTCGTTGACAATATTAATGGTAGTAGTTGTACTTCTGAATTACCTTTCTATTGTTCTGTTAACATCGTTAAAGCGAATTAGTTTCAAGAAGAAATAACAGGCTGGCGTACGTGATATTCGTGATTTTATTGTAATATCATAAGTATTGAAAACTAAAGCTTATTGTAATATTGCTCCATCGTTACTTAAGCTTGTAACGATGGAGTCTTTTGCTCATTCTTGTCCATTTGGAACTACACTTGAGAATGAGCACTAGCTTTAGTAACAATACAATTTGACATTCCAAAAGTGCCTTATTATAGAATAATATAGAAAGAAGAAGAATAATATAGAATAATATAGCCGATAAATATAGAAATACATGCATTGAGTTTTACTTTTTTTTGTAAATGCTGTAATGATTAGGTATGGGTCTCGTATTTTATACAGGACAAGCAGTAAGTTACCTAGGTAGTTGATTTGTTTTAGTTATTCAAAAAGCAATTCCGAAACTTAGGGAATTGTAAAAATTCTCAACTTTAAGAATCAAAATAATCAATTCACATTATGACAAAAGGAAAGTTTACTCGAACGTTTTATCGAAAATCAGCTCTAAAACTAAGTTCTTAAATATCCATTTTCCACGATCACTAGACTGTTAAATATTCAACAACTTAGTATAGCTTTGACATCATTGTTTAATTAACCAATCAGATCTATCAATTGAATGCCTAGGCAAGTGATCAGAATAATTGCATTAACTCTAGTCTTGATTTGAACTTAAATAGGTATGCTTTATATCATACCTAAAATTCATCCTGTTTTGATAATCAACACAAAGTCAATATCAAAAGCTACTTAAGACCTTAGATTAGCCTCCTAGTGATAATAGTTCTTGTAATGTTCATTTGCCCATGGCAAATAGGCTGTCGCTACTTGCCTACTCAATGATTTATTGTCCAGCTACCAATAGACTCTTGTTAAGTGTAAACTAGTCTACAATATTGAATTGATGTTGTTTTACAGAACAAATAAACGACATCATAATTATTATTGTGAAAGACAGATTTTCAGAAATGAAGACACAAAAGACAATATTTTGTTACGTTTTCCAAGAAAATTGGACACAGGTCTTAATAAAGAAAGAACACAATGTTGTAGATAATTAAAAAAAAACATCCAAACTACAGAAAAAATAAAAAGAGAACCAAACAATTATTTTAAAGAAAAACAAACAACAATAAAAATTACTAATAAAAATCTGTTTTAAAGCAGGAACCACATCAACCTCATGACTACCATTTTTTTTAAGGGGGGAAAATCATCGAATGACTCAAGTTAGCTTTTAACTTTAAAGATATCGCCTGTAGGCTAATCGACTTCACACGTAACCAGAGGGGTTTTTTAAGGGGGGAAAATCATTGAATGACTTCTCCCGCCTGGGTGAGGCGGGAGGGAGTGTCAGACACTTACTGACTAAAAACCACCCCGTTCCTTCTCCTGTACGTCGAGCCGGAGTCCCAGTTACTCGTTAGGTTCTCCGTGACACGACTACCATTAGGTACATGAGTTAATATGACACAATAAATAAAAACATAATAATATGTCTCGCGTAGATTTACGTTCTGGTGCACCAGGGGTTACACACCAGTAGCGCCATCTATTACAGAAAAAAGCTGCCATATTTATCAGAAACTGCATTCAAAGCTACCACGAAACATTCAGCTCAAACTGGGACGTTACGCTACGAACCTAGGTTAGGGCGTTAATAATAGCCCTATTCTTAGCCCCTCTCATTTAAAAACAGCCTCTGTATAAGGCTGAGGGCTTCAGGCTAGAAGAGCGCACACGACACGCCTACTAGAGAATGCTATTCATTCAAAATACTGGTCCACTGACCTAGCGTGGTAAATTGAAGATCTTAACGGGTGGAACATAGTTTAGACGTAACATCATATATTTTGCTACCCAAGAAGTAAGTAAAGACTGGTATACTTTAAAAGGTACAGTGATAATTATATCATAGGCTATACCAGTTTTGTATTAGTCCCATTAGAGTCTTGTTAAGAAAAACTAGGTAAAGTTCTAAAATGTGTGTGATTACTGAGAATATCGTACCTAAACTGATTCTATCAATGCTTTACAGAACCCTTTTCAACTTCATCAATGTAAATAGTTGTTTTTAGTTTTATTTTATTTTTATTTTTATCTTAAGTTGTATATATTTAATTTAGTAATAGTTAGTATTAATTTTATTGTTGTATTTCAAGTTATATATCATCAATGCTTAAAACATGTGTCTATAATGATGGCACTCAAAGAGTTAAAGAAAATATGTAACAGAATGAAAACAACATTTCTTATGTTATGAAATAATAAATATTAATAGTAGTTTAATTAGATTATATTTTGCTCCATATGTTGCTGTGCCCTTGCCGGGTTTCATGTTGAAACTGTACCTCATGTAACACCAATTGTACACATGATATGCAATAAAAGAATTTGATTTTGAAACATTATTAATTCCCATATAGTAAAAATTTCGTTCTATTGTAATGAGACGTAAGTTATGAATATATGAGACAAATACAACAACTACTAACAAATATCGCAATATTAAAACTTTCGTGAGGCATACTAATAAATTATTATGTTTTCAGTTTACTCACACGATTAGACTCGAGTAGCAGCGCGACAGTCGCCGCGTCGCGAGTCGCGGAATGCTGCTCATGTATATGAGCCTCTAACACGGCTTAAACTGTCAAACACCAAGCGGTCACCGGTGACCGCAACCTATTGTTCTATAATTGTGTCTATAATGACGGTACTCGACGAGTTAAAACAAGTCGAGTTTTTTTTATGGAATAGGAGGCAAACGAGCCGACGGATCACCAGATGGTAAGCGATCAGCGCCGCCCATTGACACCCGCAACACCAGTGGAGTAACAGGTGCGTTGCCGGCCTTTTAAAAGTTCCTTGTCAGACATTTACGTGAGTAAGCCGAAAACATAATAAGTAAATATCGCAATGTCATCTTAAGAATCACAGTACAAAACTTTATGTAGCCATTTGTGACTTAAATAGCAACACATTTCTATTTTTAGATACCTCATTTCAGAAGAAGGTACAGCTATGTTTTAAAGTGCAAGGTCGGACGCTTCTAGGAAAATGGGCGCTCTTAAGAAATGAACGCAGTTCTGAGAGAATGCTATTCAGT